CCTTATTTAGGGTTAAGGAGAACACTGATATGAATACTAATGTATTCCTGGACCCAACTTACTTTTAAAAAGGCTGGCACTAGCACTGAAAGCACCAAGTAAAAAATAGAAAAATTGAAAATATTTGTCTTCCAATACATTGTTTGATAGTCCGACAAACAGTGGCTGCATTAACGAGACTTATTCATTGTTATCTCTAAAATAATATTAAATTTCATCAAGAGAATTCATCATCTTCATCCCGTTTGTAGTCCTCAACAGAATTGTAATGTTCACCTAAACCAAACGCATGTCTTAAGTAGCACACAATGATAGTTGGCTGGTCGTCATTCTCAAACTCCTCGCCGACAATGACTGGTGCGCCCTCTGATTGCACGACTTTGATTGGCTGTTTGAGTGTATGTGACAGGGCTCTAACCTCTAGTTGACCTCCCCATGCAGTTGTGTGAGCTGTGTCCTGACAGTATTTCTCAAAGTCTTCCTCGGTGAACATGTCTCCATTATCTTTGGTTAGAAATGGCAGGAAATCATCCCTGTTTTCTGGAAGAACAAAAACACATCAAACAGGTATTAAAAGTATTTTTTGATGATTTTTTTTACATTAAGAGGGAATATTTTACTGGATTAAAAAAAATGAAATAGTCAAAAAGATACAAGCTCTATACTTGATAGGAAGGATAATTCGTGACACCATGCAAACTGATGCTGGATTCAAAGAGTAGAGAAGGTCTGAAAATAATTGGATTACCTCCCTTTTCAATAGTTTTAGGCAATACAAACAATCATTCCTACCTAGTCCTTAAATAACATCTTGCCCTTGTGAATACAAACAAAACAGTATTTGTATTTTTTTGGAAATTTGGAAATTGGAAAAACATTGCTAGATATTTAGCGGCTGTCTGCAGAGTGATAGTGACCATATCCAGGCAAGAAATATCTTTTTATAACTCTCATGCGGTTATTCAAATAATAGAGTAGTGTTTTTCTACCTTTTTTCAAATGATCCTAATTTTCACAATCACTTATATGCAAGAATTTATCATGTGATGTACTAATTTCTGATCAGTGAATTATTAACGTATCATAAATCTTTCAATTTTTTATATAAATGCATATTTCTATCAATGATGCCTCCTGACATTAATGTAAGTATTAAAGATGTATCTTTTAAAATAAAATAAAAGATTTGCTTTCTATAATAAGGTTAATTAGGCCAAAATCTGCAAAACACAAAGATGCAATTAATTTTACATGAAAAGTGATGAAAATAGTTTTAAAACAATTGATTACCAGGTAAGTAAAATTTCGTTCAACAAATTCATTTTTAAAATTTTATCATAATCATAACTTGTGTACCTTTCATGTATCTTGCAACCTGACCACGTAGGGCCTCGTTCGAAGACACCTTTCTGATCTTTTCCAGCTGGTGATTCACAGCATTATACAAACAGTTTCCGTCAGATTTGATCTCAAATATTTGCAGGTTTTGATGTTTAAGAGCTTCTTTGATTTTTTGCAGTTCTATATGTCTTGCACCCGAAAGGTTCTGAATGTCCTGCTGTTTAATTTCTTCTTCTCGTTCACGATCCTTTTCCAATTTCTTATTACGTCTTTTCTGTGCCTTGGATAATTTTTTCTCCTCCTGTCCAGAGGCTGCACCCACAGTGTTGTCGGATGTAGAGTCATCATTTTTTGTGTCCAATTCTTCAAGGCGTTCAGCTACCTAAAATCATACATGTACAAAAAATAAAAAATATGAATTAATTTACCATTATATTATAGGGCTAATTAGGCAATGATTTAACGGTTATTTTTTGCAGGTGTGGATTTTCGTGTACAAAATATACAAATATACTAATATCCTTTGTCACCTTTTTAAATGATTTTGTTGTCCATTTTAATAATTAACATAAAATTGTATACTTCATTGGCAAGGGGTGGCAAAGTGGTTAAGGCGTCCAACCGTCTACGACCATGAGCCTTTTACCAGTGGGTTGTAGGTTCAATGCCTACATTGGGCAGTCGCCAGGTGCAGACCACAGGTCGGTGTTTTTTCTCTGGGCTATCTGGTTTTCCACCTGGCACGTTTTAGCTGGTTGTTTATAGGATGTAAATCAGAAACAAATCTACTTCATTTGCCATGTGCTGTATTAAATGCCATATGTCTCTTAATTTTTTCCAGTCTCTATTTACGTCTTCCTCCATATATATCTAAATCCCTAATAATGCCAAATCTTTTGCTTACAAATCGTTGCAGTATGGATATATCAAAAAGTCACTTTATTGTATAAACATCATCTATATCTACCAAATAATGTTTGTGAGTAAAATTACAGTAAAAAACATGTTAGTTTTCATTTGTAATTGTAGTTTTCCAATATATGTAATACCAAAGTACAGTGTATAATAAAAGACACTGTCCTTGAACAGGGACGCATACTATATATCAATCAAATAGAGGCGATGAGTGCTTTAAACATCTCATGATGAAAAATGGCTCACATTTGCAACATCAGCTGTTGTTTCCTTCAGTTCTTGTAGTTCTGCCTCTTGTCTCTCATCTAGATCATGTTCTAGTTTGGCAATCTGCTCTGTCACTTCTTTCTTCCTTTTCTTGTCTCCTTTAGGAACTGAGTGTTTTAGTTTTTGTATTTGTGCTTGTAGATCTTTACATTCTTTTTTGTGCTTTCTAGACAAGACTTCCTCTACATCCTCAGTATCAGACATACTGCTGTACTAAAATCACACCTAGAAAATAAAATCATAAGATAAGGATGTAAAAATTTACAAAAGCCTGGACAAAAATTTACATGTACATATTAAAAATCACAGTTCATTCAACAGTGACATGAGACATAGTAGAGAAGTGTTATAGTTCGTCAGTTTAGTTTTATTTTATCTTTAATTTAAAGCAAAATCAATACTGAACAAGAGTACCGCAGGGCAGAACAATATACGCCCGTTGAATGCCATATAGTGTTATATAAGTTCTTACATTGAAATAAGATCTGCATCATTCAAAGAGTGGTTAGCTGACATGCTATAAAAATGTAGGATAAAATCTCCGGATAAAAAAAATCAAATACTGAAATGAACAAAGGGCAATAACATTTGGAAAAATTGTTGAATCAAAATTCTTTTAAGAGATAGACAACTTCATATCCTGATTATAATGTATACCAAGTTTCAAAGAGATCCATTTAAAAATGTAGGAGGAGATTGCCGGACAAAAATCAAATACTGAAATGAACAAAGGGCAATAACTTTTGAAAAAATTGTTGAATCAAAATTCTTTTAGGGGAGACACAACTTCATATCCTGATTATAACGTATACCTAGTTTCAAATAGATCGGTCAAAAAATGTAGTAGGAGATTGCCGGACAAACAAAAGTTTACGCTGGACGGACAACGCCACACTATAATACTCCCGTCAAATTTGACGGGCGTATAAAAATACATTTGAAGCTTAACATGTTGGACCTAGAAAATATTGATAAACTTATTCAGCCTTACTTTCACAAGAATCGCTATGACCCCTGGAAACTCAGGGCAATTTCTTTCCTGGAGGGAAGACTATGTCACCCTAGTAAAAAACTAGCCGCTTCAAACAGACTCGGCTAGGGAGGATTCATGTTTAGCTCATTTGGTAGAGCATATATGTCTTGTAAACGAGAGGTTCTGCGTTTGAATCCTAGCAGAGACATTGAAAAAAATAATGACCCCTGTCACAATTTTCCTGACAGTGAGATGAATTTGTATTGAAGTGAGGTGTGAACAAAACCATGTGTTCTTTTGTTAAATAAACAAGTAACTAGATACAGGACTTTTAATAAATTTGCTTACAAATGTAACTGATTTGATTAAGAAATTTATTTCTTAAGATTTTCCTACAAAGATTCCCTTTTTTTGCAGTTGATGTGTTTCATTTCAGAAAGTGCAAAAATATAAATGTCTTGAAATGTTACATTGAAACAAGGCAAACATCAGTTTTAGTCACATGATTACAAGAACTGGACTGGGTCAATCGTCGGAGGCCATGCAGTTGAATTGGTAGAGCATCAATCTAGAATTCAGAGGGTTGAGTTCGAAACCAAGTCTGGCCATGCATTTTTTCGCTTCTACTACATTTGGTGCGTGTGACCAACTCTAGTTTCAAGTACTGGGTGAGTGGCTGATTACCTGGACCTGGGTTGAAAGAAGTGTTGATTTTGAGGGAAAAGATTTTGAAAGAGGAATGAGGAATGTAGTGGAAGTGGTAAGTGCTTTTGTTTTGGGGTCTTATGGGGTGTTTTTTGGTTGTTATGGGGTCTTTTTGGGTGTTTCGTGCCATCCAAACCCTTGTTTTAAAAGCTAGTGCTCGGAAGGTCTAGGGTTTGAATCCAGGTCTGGCCTAGCCCGAGTTTCCTCTGGCTCTCAAACCAGACTTTGATGTGGATTAATTAGGTTGCCTTACAAGCATCAG